AGATCAGGGGAGCCAACCTTCTTTTTTTCCACTATTTTCACTTCTTTCATTAGTTTCATTAGTTTCATTAGTTCCAATTCCTGTATTTCCTGCATTTCCTGCATTAGTTCGTTCCATCTTGCTTAACTGAACACAGCCCTGTCCTTTAATGTTGTTCTCAACTTCGTCATATAAATGTTCCGTCTATTATATAAGTCTATGATTAAAATACAAAGTTTGAATCTTAGGCGTTCCCCAAGGGTCGGTTTTAAGCCCCATACTGTTCAGTATATATCTATCCTTTGTCGAGATGTGCCTGCCTCTCCCCGTACAGGTTCTAATGTATGCTGACGATATAGTTATTTATTGTTTACACTCTTCTGTTGAGTATGTTGCGTCACAACTCAATATTGCTCTCTCTAACTTAAGCTCCCACCTCGGTGAGTTGGGGCTGAGACTGTCTCCGGAGAAGTCGTTCGCGACGTTCTACTCCCTAAATTCGTTGAGAAATACAAAATGGCTTCTCAAAAAAAAGAGAGTGAAAATCTCGCTAAATGGAATTGAGGTTCAAGTTGTTTGGAACGTGAGATTTTTGGATGTCTTCTTTGACTACGCCCTCAAGTGGAAAACACATGTTTCCGAAATTAAAAAGCGGGTCCTACCGCGTGTCAATGTGCTTAAAGCCATTGCTGGAATCAGGTGGGGCGCCCACCCAAGAGCTCTATCTGCCGCTTACAAAGGATTGGTACGCTCCGTCCTTGACTGGAGATGCCAAGTCACTTCCCCTCTTGGGGAGAGAGAGCTACTTGTCCTCAACAGGCTACAGTTCGCTTGCGTTCGTCTAATTGAGGGCTTTATGCGTACTACTCCAACTAATGTCTTGTTAGACATTGTAAATGAACAACCTCTGGCGTGTAGACGAGTTTACCTATCTCGCAAGTATGCCTGTAGGGTTAAGTCTAGAACCAATCACTCTCTAAACTCCATGCTTTGTCAATTTGTCCCTGCTTGGGAACCTATATGCGCAGACAACTCGTTTGGACTCTTTGATGTCTTTAGTGCACTCTCTCTTATGACTCAGCAAGTGGAAGCCTCGGTCCTTCCTGGCCCTCTTTGCTTCCTTTATTCTATCCGGTTTTTCAAATGTTCGGTCGACATTGAATCCGGTGCCCAGTTCAGAATGTCTAGTTCTCCTCAGTCATCTTTTACTTCGTTCCTGACCGAGAAAAATATAACGCACGCTTTATTTACCGACGGCTCACTCTTACCATCTTCGGGAGATGCCACCTCTCGAGTGAGGTATGCAGTGGTGTCCGAGTCCATTGACTTAGTACATTACGCGCGCATCAATAATTACTCCTCAATCTTCGACGCGGAAGCATGTGCAATTTTGTGTGCCTTAGAGTATCTTCAGGACTTTAGGTTTAGTCGTACTTGCATCGCCACTGACTTCCTCAGTGTCTTAAAGTGCTTAGATTCCTCGGACCCAAGAGGAAGTCACCCTCCAGTTATATATAAAATAAAAAGTATAGTCTCTGAACTTTTGTCTCAGAGCGTTGACATGTTATTCCTCTGGGTACCGGCCCACAAAGGAATTGCGGGTAATGAATTAGCAGACCAATATGCCAAACGTGCCTTAGATTTACCTGATCCGAGTACTTCTGAAAAGTGCGCTGCCAGATCCTTGTTCCCTAGCTTAAAAAGACTATCCCTGGTAGAGTCGAGACAGTATCTACTAGATGAGGCGGGTCACAAAGGAGCTAGATACTTTGCTTAAAAGGGTGAACCTCTCGGCAAACCCTAGTATGAGAAATACAAAAAGCCTTTGCCCAGACCATTGATCTCACTAATATCACGTATTAGATCCTATCATACGGGTGCAAGAGCTTACCTTGCCGAAAAGAACATAATTGATTCTGTCGCTTGTCCTTGCGGACACGCCCACCAAGATGTTGATCATATATTTCTCATATATATAATACTTCTATATTGCTAGTACGGTGCCGACCTGAAGTCTAAATGTTACGGTGCAGACAATATAGTAGCCTTTCTCTTCAGCTGCTTTGTGCGCATGCGGTGAACATTCAAGCACGTTTGGGCATTTCTCTTTCTCGCGTTCTTTCCAATGCTTTGTCTCGCTCGCA